GTTAACACAGTCAGTGTGGGGTTAAAACAGTCAGTGTGAGGTTAATGTAGCGGAGTAGTAGTATTATCCACGGTATCTCCGCTGGTAGACAGAATTCAGCATACAAAATTACAGGTAGCATAGTACCCTTTTCCCCAAGAACTAGACAACACATAGTCCCCATGCAAGGGGTTTCAAAACTGGCATTGCATGGGGTTTTACTTAGGTGGACTGTGTGGGGAACTTAGCCTGCAAGGCTATTTCCCATCATACATTGCTGTACAGGAGAGATAATTGCACAAGAATGTACTGTTAATCTCCGTACAGCAAAATATACCATTTCGCATAAAAATACATAACTGATACAATATTACTTAGAATTCACCGAATGACCCTTTATTGAATAGCTGGGATCTGAACGCACCATCTGGTGAAATACTGCTCAGGTCCATTCATGAAGGTTCATACAAACACATATTGTAATGTTCCCATAGACAGTGAGCTTTAATTTGGCGAACAGTGTCTGATTTAGACGAATGAACATTTTAGACGAATGAACATTTTAGCGAATGAACATGGAAGTCCAGCGGTGTTCGTGAGGTCGAGTAGCCGATTTTAGTTCCAGGCACTCGACGACCAAACACCGCTGGGCTTTCGTGAGCAAAGATTGCCGCCACCACGTGTTCGGTATATGAACGTCGGCCACCCGCAAAAAACATTCATTATCTGCAGATACATTGTTGCTATTTCGTTAATGGGAGACACACGACTTCCTTGTGTGGTCTCCCATTCGGTAGTTTCATTTGTTTCAAGAACAGCATATTCCAATACTGTTCGTGAAACTAGCATATGAAGGCTCGCGGTTTATGACCGCCAGCATACAAATGCTCTCAAGCTCAGACATAAAAGAAGGAAAACAAAATGCACATATTTACTCAGCCCTAAAGGTCTAGAAGTGGCTAGGTTTGCCACAGTTAACACAGTCCGTGTGGGGTTAATACAGTCAGTGTGGGGTTAATGTATGGGTTAACACAATCAGTGTGGGGTTAATGTATGGGTTAACACAATCAGTGTGAAGTTAACACAGTCAGTTTGGGGTTAACACAGTCAGTGTGGGGTTAATACAGTCAGTGTGGGGTTAACACAATCAGTGTGAAGTTAACACAGTCAGTTTGGGGTTAACACAGTCAGTGTGGGGTTAATACAACCAGTGTGGGGTTAATACAGTCAGTGTGGGGTTAACACAGTCAGTGTGAGGTTAACACAGTCAGTGTGGGGTTAATAAGCAAGGTATGGGTTAACACAGTCAGTGTGAGGTTAACACAGTCAGTGTGGGGTTAACACAGTCAGTGTGGGGTTAATACAGTCAGTGTGAGGTTAACACAGTCAGTGTGGGGTTAATACAACCAGTGTGGGGTTAATACAGTCAGTGTGGGGTTAATACAGCCAGTGTGGGGTTAATACAGTCAGTGTGGGGTTAACACAGTCAGTGTGAGGTTAACACAGTCAGTGTGGGGTTAATAAGCAAGGTATGGGTTAACACAGTCAGTGTGAGGTTAACACAGTCAGTGTGGGGTTAACACAGTCAGTGTGGGGTTAATACAGTCAGTGTGAGGTTAACACAGTCAGTGTGGGGTTATTACAACCAGTGTGGGGTTAACACAGTCAGTGTGGGGTTAATACAGCCAGTGTGGGGTTAATACAGTCAGTGTGGGGTTAACACAGTCAGAAGCTCAAGGAAGCAAGGTGAAAGGTTAGTGTAGGACCCACCTGCAAAGTTTGCCTTGACGTGGCAGGTGGGCTTCCATCTAACGGCCATTGGACTAAATAACCTCCATTTGTTTAAATATACATCAGGATTTGGGAAGAGCGCAGGTAACTTGTTTTCTTTGCTTTTTACTGTATAGAGCAATGTAATGCTATGTACGTTGTGTGCAACGTCAATGTATATGCGTGTCAGTGTCAGTGTGTATATGTATTATATGTGTGCGTTGTACGCAGTGTCAGTGTGTACATGTATTGTAACAGAGCTCCCTGTAACCTGGCTGGGTACCTCCGCCAACGGATGCTCCTAGTGCTTCTCAAGAATCAGACACCATAAGCGCTGCAGACTCCACGAACCGTCGTAGCCTGGTTGGGGTCTCGCCGTCAAACAATGACTGTTCGGTATTTTAAACATATGAAAAGGGACCAGCTGCACCAGCTGAATGCATGGAACTATTTCAGGAGCAGGAGTCTCGTGAGCAGCCGGGCAGAAATACAACTTCCACTTATCTCCCGAACCTCTGAACCAATTCCTATGATTTTTGAATATGCTTGTTCCCTAATTATGCTCTTTCAGAAAAATATATGTTTTATGGGAATTGGATGTATAATTTTGATGTTATGAAAAATGAGTAAAAAGTGTATTTTTACGCTTGGAGATAATTGAGTTAATACAGCAATTATCTCCCAAGCAGAGGGGAGGAATTTACACTAATGAATGGGAATGTTCAACTGTGTGACTGTAAACTATTGGTTGCTGAGTTTGTGTTTTCGGTGCCCAACAAGGTCCACATGGGTGGTAACCTTGTGGGAAAAGTTGCATAAGCCTGGCACATTAAACCTTCAGTTCTTGTGGCAAACCTTGCCACTTGGGACTGTAAAAGACTTCTCTTCCCATAAACTGTGTTCGGGACTTTAAAATGGCCGTATCCCATATGGTTAGTCTATGGGGATACAGCATCCGTTTCCCAAACAGTAATCTGCAACCCTGTTCAGGAAGCTACCTAACTACCGAACGAGAGACCACCCCGGGGAGGTCGTGTGTCTCTCATTAGCCCAGTTGCAACATTGTTTCAACTTGTTATGTGGTTTCATGTGTGGCTGCCGTTCGTGTACTGAACACGTGGCGGCGGCCAACTTTGTTCGCTAAGAGTTCAGCAGTGTTTGGTCGTCGAGTACCTGGAACTAAAATCGGCTACTTGATTTCCAAACACTGCTGGACTTCCATAGCGTTCGGGGAACTCACTCTTTTGGTGAATTGAAGCAGTGTGTGAGTTCTCCCTTTCCAGACCCAGTTCACTAAAAACGGTTTTCTGTGTGGCGTTCGGCTATTTCTGCAGGGATCTGAGCGGTAATTCGTGAGATTGTACATTTAGATCTCTGCAATCCAATGAGGACTCATTCGTGAGAATCTGTAGGAACATACTTAAATTATAGATTTTAATGCAAAATACTAAATTTTTCTGTAACCATTGTTAATGTAATTATCTGTGCCTGATGATGTCATCTTTGTCCTTATACAGCATGATATATCTGTGCCTGATGATGTCATATGCCCTGGTAGCCCTGATCTGGGTGAGAAACATATCCAAAAATCACCCAGATCAGACCAGGGGTTCGGGAGTTATGGGGAGGTAAAGTTTTGACCGACCGCCTGGGCAAAGTAGCCGAAAATAGTTCCATGAAATCTGGCCATGCGGTCGGTCTCCATTCGTGCCCCAAAAGTCCCGAATTGCTATGGCATCTGTGGCAAACCTAGCCACTTGGACACTAACTAGAGACTGTGCCTTTAAGGGTTGCCAATAGGTCGGGCGAGATATGCGCTTTACACTTATGTAGATGTTAATGTATTTTCTGTATTGCCTGTACTGCTGTTTCCGCCGAATGCAAATGGCGGTTTTGTATGGGGATTTTCTTTCGTTTCACGAACGGCACTTTAGAAAGCCGTTCGTGAACCGAACGCGATACCCCCTAATAGCCCACACACTTAGAGGCGTGTGGCGCTAGTTAACCGATTGCAACATTGTTGCAATCGGTTATTAGAGGCTCTCCTGGGTGGCCGTCGTTCGACTACCGACCATGCGGCGGTCGGCCATCTTGGATCCCTTGTTCTTCAGCGGGTCCATGTCGTCGAACGCATAGCATTACCAATAGTTATTCGACGGCACGAACACCGCTGAGCCTCCAGGACGTTCGGGAGTTTCAGGACCAGGTTCACTAAAAGTAATCGGTTCTTTTCGTGTGTTTTAAAATAAATGTGTTTTCTGTGCGGCGTTCGGTTATTTTAGCGGGGATCTGAGCGGCAATCTCACGAATGATGCGCCCAGACCCCAGCTATCTACTGAACGTCCATTCGTGTAAATCCACCGTGTATTGTAACAGTTGTAGATTTTTGTGTGAATTGCCGGTTCTGCTATACGAGGGGATAATCCCCTTAACGGTGCATTCTGGGAGGATGATCCCTCTCGTGCAGCAGTGCCTGATGGGAGAAATATGTTGTACTGTAAGTCCCCCATGTAGTCCCCTTTGGGAGTGCCCCTGGGGAGGAACTCAGGAAACCCCTTGCATGGGGACTTGTATAAATTGTCGTGCCGATTAAAGGATTTCAGTTGACTCTCAAAACTGTGTCTCGTCCGGTTATTGGGAGGTTGGGGATATTGCCTTGGTGTTTCAGCGCTTGACTGTGGATTCGTTTCTGGACCAGCGGAATTCGTGGATTTTATATTGGCGTTCCGCTACAGCATCCATAACGCATTCGGTAACCGGATGAATCCCCTAGTTCGTGGGATTCATCCTACCGAACGCCGGGCCGTTCGTGGGTTTCCATCCGTGCATTCTGAAGCCATGGAGGTCTTAGCAGTGTTCGGCTAGTCGAGTGTCCGTTTTCAGTTCCAGACATTCGACGGCCAAATACCGCTGTTCGCAGATTTAAGATGGCAGCCGCCACGTGTTCAGCTGCCGAAATGCCGGCGGGTTCGTGCGTACAAGGGAATGAAATGCAAGCAGGGAGGTAAATAGATCCATTATACACATCAGGGTGGTCCAGTTCATTCGGTACTTTGTTCGTATGGGGAATTTCAGTGGTTCACATGTCAGCTGTTATTCCCATACCGAACAAAGTATGTCCATAACTAGTCACTTAGAGTTTTGGGTACTTAAGGCATAGGAAAATCTCTGCAGGGCCAACAATTAATAAAAGGAATAGGAGAGCCAAAAAGGGGTTCCGCTACAATGTGTGTGTTGTGCGCAGTGTCAGCGTGTATATGCATTATATGTGTATGTTGTGCGCAGTGTCAGTGTGTATATGTATTATATGTGTATGTTGTGCGCAGTGTCAGTGTGTACATGCATTATATGTGTGCGTTGTGCGCAGTGTCAGTGTGTATATGTATTATATGTGTATGTTGTGCGCAGTGTCAGTGTGTATATGTATTATATGTGTATGTTGTGCGCAGTGTCAGTGTGTACATGCATTATATGTGTGCAGTGTGTGCTGTGTCATTGTATATAGTGTCTTGGTGAGGGTAATCTTTAGGTGCTGGGAAAGGTCAGTCGCTCGGTACGTGCTTGTCCCCTAGATCTCCCACAAACGCCACCATGCAGGGGGTTCGTGGCGTTTGACCTCCGATGACCTTGAGCTAAGCTGGGGGTTTAGGGACCAGGTGCTAGGATCACAGGATCCTCCAGAGATACAGTCAGGGCTACATGGGTAGTTATTGGTCCAGTGAATGAGGAGGAGGCGGAACGGTGACAAAGAGCCATTCAAAGACCCTGTCCTGGGGGCGTACTGACCCCCCACCCTGAGAAAACATCAGGAGTCAGGAGACTTGTATAACCCTCTCAGCGCCAGAGAACAGCCCCATAAACTTGTGCATGGAATAACTAACAGCTCAGAGTTAACCCCTTCAACATCAGAAGCAGCCAGACCACAGTGTACTTGAGGAGTAACCTTTTCAGTACCAGAAAGTGTCATGAATGGCAGCACATGACAAACAGAATACCACGTACCAGTATCATAACCCCCCGACACAGATCGGAGTTCTACCAGTGCATACCAAAGCTGTGTACCTGTCGGGGTTGATGGAATAAATATTGGGAAGCGATGGGAATAGAAACATTGCCGTTAGATACAGGAAGAGGTGCTCTTCAGTTAAATATTGAGAACTCCTGGCTTGAGAGGAGAGTATTGTAGTTTGTCTTTGTACCTTGGCGCCCTGCCCTGCTTCCTCTGCCTTCCTTGTGTCTTTGTTCCCAGCCCTACTCTCTCTGCCTCGGGCACAGCTCTGGTGACTCATAGAAAGTTTGGCTGCGCCGTTTGCACTCAGCGACTTCTTATTTTCATATCTGTATAATTACCATCAGGTCTCCCGGGGGCCAAAGAGTCCATTCGTTTTCTGAACAGAGCTTGGCCCCATAGAGACAGTTACAAGGTAATGGAAAAATAAACAGACAAACAGCTAAACTAAGTGGCACAGTCATGTAGGAACAGTGTATTAATTTACCTTTAATCCCTCAATATGTACAGCTCGGAGGGGGGAAGGAAGAGGGGGATATGAGCCATGCCCTAGCGTCAGCACTCTCAGCCAATTATTGTGAACTTAAAGGGACCTACAGACCTGAAAATAACAATCCCTATCTCTATCATAGAGGTCACAACCCAACCCACATTGATGAAAAAAAATAAAAATAAAGCAAAATAAAGATTACTTATTACATTTCTGGAACTAGGACTTCTCCACTGCAGCCTCCTGTTCCGCCTCTGGCGACATGAGTATCCCACAATGCCGTCCAGTGCGATGTCAGCATTCCGCAATTGCGCCCACTGCGATATCAGCAATCCGCAATCTTATCCAGTGCGATATCCGCATGCCGCAATCTTATCCAGTGCGATATCCGCATGCCGCAATCCTGCCCAGTGCGATATCAGCAATCCGCAATCCTGCCCAGTGCGATATCAGCATGCCGCAATCCTACCCTGTGCGATATCAGCAATCCGCAATCCTGCCCAGTGCGATATCAGCATGCCGCAATCCTGCCCTGTATGATATCAGCAATCCGCAATCCTGCCCAGTGCGATATTAGCATGCCAGCAATCCTGCCCAGTGCGATATCAGCAATCCGCAATCCTGCCCAGTGCGATATCAGCATGCCGAATCCTGCCCAGTGCAATATCCGCATGCCGCAATCTTATCCAGTGCGATATCCGCATGCCGCAATCCTGCCCAGTGCGATATCAATAATCCGCAATCCTGCCCAGTGCGATATCCGCATTCTGCAATCCTGCCCAGTGCGATATCCGCATGCCGCAATCGTATCCAGTGCGATATCAGCATGCCGCAATCCTGCCCAGTGCGATATCAGCAATCCGCAATCCTGCCCATTGCGATATCAGCATGCCGCAATCCTGCCCGGTGTGATATCCGCATGCCGCAATCCTCCCCTGTGCGATATCAGCATGCCGCAATCCTGCCCTGTGCGATATCAGCATGCGGCAATCTTATCCAGTGCGATATCAGCATGCCGCAATCCTGCCCAGTGCGATATCCGCATGCCGCAATCCTGCCCTGTGCGATATCAGCATGCCGCAATCTTATCCAGTGCGATATCAGCATGCCGCAATCCTGCCCTGTGCGATATCAGCATGTCGCAATCCTGCCCAGTTCGATATCAGCAATCTGCAATCCTGCCCAGTGCGATATCAGCATGCCACAATCTTATCCAGTGCGATATCAGCATCCCGCAATCCCGCCCAGTGCGATATCAGCATGCCGCAATCCCGCCCAGTGCAATATCACCATGCCGCAATCTCATCCAGTGCGACATCAGAATGCTGCAATCACATTCAGTGCAATATCAGCATGCTGCAATCCCGTACAGTACGAAAACAGCATGCCGCAATCCCGTACAGTACGAAATCAGCATGCCGCAATCCCGTATAGTGCAATATCAGCATGCCGCAATCCTGCCCAGTGCGATAACCGCATGCCGCAATCCTGCCTAGTGCGATATCAGCATTCTGCAATCCTGCCCAGTGCGATATCCGCATGCCGCAATCCTGCCCAGTGCGATATCCGCATGCCGCAATCCTGCCCTGTGCGATATCAGCATGCCGCAATCTTATCCAGTGCGATATCAGCATGCCGCAATCCTGCCCTGTGCGATATCAGCATGTCGCAATCCTGCCCAGTGCGATATCAGCATGCCGCAATCCTGCCCTGTGCGATATCAGCATGCCGCAATCCTGCCCAGTGCGATATCAGCATGCCGCAATCCTGCCCTGTGCGATATCCGCATGCCACAATCCTATACAGTACGATATCAGCATGCCGCAATCCTGCCCTGTTCGATATCAGTATGTCGCAATCCCGCCCAGTTCGATATCAGCAATCTGCAATCCTGCCCAGTGCAATATCAGCATGCCGCAATCCCGCCCAGTGCGATATCAGCATTCCGCAATTGCGCCCAGTGCGATGTCAGCATTCCGCAATTGCGCCCAGTTCGATATCAGCAATCTGCAATCCTGCCCAGTGCGATATCAGCATGCTGCAATCACGTCCAGTGCGATATCAGCATGCCGCATTCCCGCTCAGTGCGATATCAGCAATTCGTATTCCCGTCCAGTGCAATATCAGCATGCCGCGATCCCGCCCAGCAAGCCGCAGTCACATCCCATGCGATATCACATCCAGTGTGATATCCGCATGCCGCAATCCTGCCCTGTGCGATATCAGCATGCCGCAATCTTATCCAGTGCGATATCAGCATGCCGCAATCCTGCCCTGTGCGATATCAGCATGTCACAATCCCGCCCAGTTCGATATCAGCAATCTGCAATCCTGCCCAGTGCGATATCAGCATGCCACAATCTTATCCAGTGCGATATCAGCATCCCGCAATCCCGCCCAGTGCGATATCAGCATTCCGCAATCCCGCCCAATGCGATATCAGCATGCCGCAATCCCGCCCAGTGCAATATCACCATGCCGCAATCTCATCCAGTGCAATATCAACATGCCGCAATCTCATCCAGTGCAATATCAACATGCCGCAATCTCATCCAGTGCGACATCAGAATGCTGCAATCACATTCAGTGCAATATCAGCATGTCGCAATCCCGCCCATGTGATATCAGCAAGCCACAGTCAGATCCAGTGCCGCGATCCTGTCCAGTGCGATATCAGCAAGCCACAGTCACATCCAGTGTGATATCAGCATGCCGCAATCCCACTCAGTGCGATATCAGCATGCTGCAATCCTGTCCAGTGCGATATCAGCCTGCCACAATCCTGTCCAGTTGGATAACAGAATTCCACAATCCCGCCCAGTTCGCTATCAGCATGTCGCAATCCCGCCCAGTTCAATATCAGCATGCTGCGATCCCACCCAGTTCGATATCAGCATGTCGCAACCCCGCCCAGTTCAATATCAGCATGTCGTAATCCCGCCCAGTTCAATATCAGCATGTCGCAATCCCACCCAGTTCGATATCAGCATGTCACAATCCCGCCCAGTTCAATATCAGCATGTCGCAATCCCACCCAGTTCAATATCAGCATGCCGCGATCCCACCCAGTTCGATATCAGCATGTCGCAATCCCACCCAGTTCAATATCAGCATGTCGCAATCCCACCCAGTTCAATATCAGCATGTCACAATCCCGCCCATGCGATATCAGCAAGCCACAGTCAGATCCAGTGCCGCGATCCCGTCCAGTGCGATATCAGCAAGCCACAGTCACATCCAGTGCGATATCAGCATGTCGCAATCCCACCCAGTTCAATATCAGCATGCCGCGATCCCACCCAGTTCGATATCAGCATGTCGCAATCCCACCCAGTTCGATATCAGCATGTCACAATCCCGCCCAGTTCAATATCAGCATGTCGCAATCCCGCCCAGTTCAATATCAGCATGTCGCAATCCCGCCCAATGCGATATCAGCATGCCGCGATCCCACCCAGTTCGATATCAGCATGTCGCAATCCCACCCAGTTCAATATCAGCATGCCGCGATCCCACCCAGTTCAATATCAGCATGTCGCAATCCCACCCAGTTCAATATCAGCATGCCGCGATCCCACCCAGTTCAATATCAGCATGTCGCAATCCCACCCAGTTCGATATCAGCATGTCACAATCCCGCCCAGTTCAATATCAGCATGTCGCAATCCCGCCCAGTTCAATATCAGCATGTCGCAATCCCGCCCAATGCGATATCAGCATGCCGCAATCCCGCCCAGTGCAATATCACCATGCCGCAATCTCATCCAGTGCAATATCACCATGCCGCAATCTCATCCAGTGCGACATCAGCAAGCCACAGTCACATCCAGTGCGATATCAGCATGTCGCAATCCCACCCAGTTCAATATCAGCATGCCGCGATCCCACCCAGTTCAATATCAGCATGCCGCGATCCCACCCAGTTCGATATCAGCATGTCGCAATCCCACCCAGTTCGATATCAGCATGTCGCAATCCCACCCAGTTCGATATCAGCATGTCGCAATCCCACCCAGTTCGATATCAGCATGTCGCAATCCCGCCCAGTTCAATATCAGCATGTCGCAATCCCGCCCAGTTCCATATCAGCATGTCGCAATCCCACCCAGTTCAATATCAGCATGTCGCAATCCCACCCAGTTCGATATCAGCATGTCGCAATCCCACCCAGTTCGATATCAGCATGTCGCAATCCCACCCAGTTCGATATCAGCATGTCGCAATCCCACCCAGTTCGATATCAGCATGTCGCAATCCTGTCCAGTGCTTCATATAGAGACTGGATTGGAGATACGCATTGGCGTCCAATACACTGTGCTCATCCAGTCAAATTCTGCTGTGAGCAGTTTTTGATTGTAGGATCGAGTTTGACCCGATTCTGGAGGAGGAAGCACCTAATCATAAAGACAGCAAATAGAGGTGGATTTAACCCAACTATAGAAACATCACCACTTCTACAAAACTCCATGTTTTACATTACAGGGTTAAAAGGCCCACTGCACCCACACCAACCTAATCTCAATAACGTGGTCTGGTTTAGTATAGTGGTCCATTAATACGCATGGCTCGGAGAGGAGCAAGAGCGATACAACAAAACATGCTGAACATTTTGGGGGAGTGTTTTGTTACCTTATTTATTTTGTCCTGTTACCATTGTAGGACAATGAGGACAAGGTGTGCCCACTTTTTATCTAGTTCTTTTCCAAATCAGCTTCTAGAATGTATTTTTATTACTCGAATTATGCAACAATCTAGAATATCTGTCAGATAACATCGGCACGTCTCCCTAAACATCCCTCGGGCAACAATGTACGGATGCTGAAATTATGACTCCTCCGGTTTGGGAGTGAAGCTTGTTAAGAAGTGATAACAAAATGGAGCACACAGCTGTACTATGTATTATCAGAATTAAACGGAATAAAAATACCTTTTTCTATTGTGAAGAGAAAAATGTTTTGATTGCTGGAATGTTTGTGTTGTTGAAACTCGTGTAATTTTAACATGAAAAAACAAGAAATAATAAAATGGTTTCCAACTTTTCCCAAGGTTAAAATCACCAGGTCCTTCAAAAAATGTAATCTTGAATCCTTTCTAAATGACATCAAGAACCTCCCATGGCACAGATTAAACATTATCCCAGATCTAGACTGTGCTGTTGAATTCTTTCAGTCTGAACTCCTACAAATTTGGAATTTGCATGCCCCGCAGCGTAAGGTGAGAGTAAAAGGGGCACATATGAACTGGATCACAGCTGACCTCATCCAAATGTACCAGTTTCGGGATTCTTTGTGGTCAAAGTTGAAGCGTACTGGCTCTATGAATGATCACGGTGCATATAGACAATGGCGAAATATATGCTCAAAACAAACAAAATTGGCCAAGGCCCAATATTTCTGTGAAAATCTGAACAATAACATCTCAAACCCTAGAAACTTTTGGAAAGTCATAAATAAACTACAAACTCCCCCAATCCACTCCCAACCCTCCACTGTCAAAGTGGATAACCAAACCCTGCAACTTCCCTTAGATGTAGCAAATGCCTTTAAAGGACCACTATTGTGCCAGGAAAACATACATACATACATAGTCCCTGAGGGTGCCCCCACCCTCGGGGTCCCCCTCCCGCCCGGCTCTGGGGAGAGGAAAGGGGTTAAAACTTACCTTTTTCCAGCGCTGGGCAGGGAGCTCTCCTACTCCGTTCCTCCAATTCAGCCGGTCGCATAGGAAAGCATTTACAATTTACAATGCTTTCCTATGGACGCTTGCGTGCTCTCACTGTGATTTTCACAGTGAGAATCACGCAAGCGCCTCTAGCGGCTGTCAATGAGACAGCCACTAGAGGAATTGGAGGAAGGATTAACCCATTTGTAAACATAGCAGTTTCTAAAAAAAAATGGGTTAATCCTAGCTGGACCTGGCACCCAGACCACTTCATTAGGCTGAAGTGGTCTGGGTGCTTAGAGTGGTCCTTTAACAATTATTTTGACGGATGCTCTACTGCCCTGATTGTCAAGCTAATAAATGACATGCATCCTGAAACCACAAATGTGGATCAGGCCCCACTAAATTTGCAAAGACCCAATATAGACAAGTTTATTTTTAGACCTGTACCTGTTAGTGTCATTAAAAAACATCTTAATAATCTAAAAATGAAAAACCAGTCCGGACCTGATCAAATCCCAGCAATGCTGTTGAAGCTCAGTGCGCCAGCAATTGCTAAATGTAGCGGTACTTACCTTACCCGGGGGCCGACCGAGGTCCTCACTTCCCGCCGTCCCGCGTCTCGGGCAAGCTCTTATAGGGGCAGTGGGAGCCAAAAGATGAAATGTGCTCCCATTGGCCCCGTCATCCCACGTTCCCCAGACACTCACATTTTGGGGGCGTGGATATGACAGGGGCCAATCAAAGTAAAGTATAGGGTATTTATACTTTGTGGTTTCTGTTTCAGTTCCCTTTAGCGTTTGTTGTGTTCAGTTGTGATTTTCGTGCTTGACCT